TAGAAAATAAATTATGGCTCGCCCCAAAAAACGTGTGTCGGGCAGATTTATGATTAAAGCGAAAAGCACACAACACACGAATTTTGGAAATTTGATGGTGAACGTACAGCCCGCCCCACGTTTTTTGGGGCAAGCCATAATTTATTTTCTATTTTTTAGTCCACAAGAAAAACGTGGTTTTTTAAAAAGTTTTTTTTAAGTATTTTATAATGAGTCAAATGACAACTACGCTCCCCATGGTTGAATTAATTGAACAGCGCAAACCTCTCCCACACGGAGAGGTTTGCGCTGTCTCTAAAAGACAATCAAAACATAATCATCAAACCAGCGGATAAATCATAAATCAGAAAGGGAGCGTCATGGTTGAATTAATTCAAGGACAGTTGCTATCCTGTGATGCCAGTTAGCAGTCCTGTGATGCTAGTTAGCCTATCTACCAGAAGGAAGCCTACCAGCATTTTTTACAGACTCGTAGCAATGCTGACTATAACCTATATATACAGTATACACAAGAGCTTGATATAACATAATCATCAAACCAGCAGATAAATCATAAATCAGAAAGGGAGCGTCATGGTTGAATTAATTCAATTTCAACCATGACGCTCCCTTTCTGATTTATGATTTATCCGCTGGTTTGATGATTATGTTTTGATTGTCTTTTAGAGACAGCGCAAACCTCTCTGTGTGGGAGAGATTGTTTTTAACTCTCTGCAGTCTCTGGGCTTGTAATCTATTGTACTTCGAATTTATGTATGTTAAACAATTCTTCCGTGGCATGCTTTCAAGTATCAGAGGATTCCAGTTTGACTAAGTTACGACTAACGAATGGTATTGCGGAACACTGACTCACTTCTGAGGTGAGTGAGTACCTACTGACGCACTGTGCCACTCTAGAAGCAATCTTAACAAGTTAAGTGTGGGACGACCCACGGGTGGGTGGCAGGGTCTTTTTTCCGGATAAATTCCATGATTTAGTTTTTTTTCAATTGCGTTTGTCGACAAAATTTATGATGGCAGTACTGCCTCATTAAAATATAAACTACAAAAAAAGGAAAATTTAATTTTTGCACCTGAACCCACAAATTTACTAGTATATTTTGAATTATAGGCCTTTTTAGCAGCGGACTTGGCCCTTTTTAGGCCAGCTGCCAGCGCTGTGGGTCGTTGCCGCACTCAACGTGTTAACATGTTAACCGTCACATGTATCACCAGTGGCACAAAACAAGATTTCAATGAATGCCATATGTACCACCGGTGGATCATTTACAAATTTAATTTCAAATTTGTTTTTCACTCATTTTTCATGGCTAGGAGGATGAATTATCAGAATAAGTGTCATAACTTATTTATTTGTTAACATAACCATTAAAAAAAATAGTTTCATACAAATTTCAAATGAAATATAGGTAACTAAAGTTTTGTTCTTTAAATCAGACTCTTCCTCAAACATAAAATTCAATGGTAAAAAAGGAAATTCTTCAAATAAAACAAATAATCTGCATAAATTGGTGATCATAATTAGTGAGATTACCTTTTGGAAAATTATCCATGAACCAACAATAGCATTAGATATCAGACATTACATATGAGAGTGGGTTCTTTAAAAAAAACAGGGCATAAATGTGGCTTATTTTTGCATTGAAGGCAGACTGTTTTCACTCTTCATGCTTTTGCAGCTGCAACTGAGCGGCCTTCATTTTTCGACAGCACCTAATAACACTCTCTACATCTTTTTCTTACATTCCGACATTGACCCTCTAACTCAACAAGGTAATGAGTTTCTCTTCCCACCTATAACAGCTGGTTCTTGTTCTGCATTCATTTTGTTCAAGTTTCCTGTTAGGAGTGAGTGAGCAATAGATTCTCGGAATTCTTTCATCAACAAGGGTTTCTTATTAGGAAATTTGTTGAAAAGGATGTGTAATTTGACCATAGCAGTTCCCAATAGTTCCAATGATACCAATAAGTCTTGGTATCATTATAAATAACAAACAACCAATGAAAATCATAACTACTAACTACAATATAAAAAATATTTTTTGAGAGCTATAAACTATAACCACCAGTGGCAAAATAATTATGATCCAATGTGTACCGTTTCCTATTGTCGCAATATAAGCCACTAGTGTACCATAATCTCTTGTACCTCCAGTGGTGCGCATGGCAGTGATGGCACTGAACAAAAATGAAGATTTAGTGAACATCCTTATGTACCACATGTGTCCCATGGTCAGGATGGAATTCTAATTTTGAAGGTTCATATATTATTTCGATCCACCAAGACCACTTTTTCTATCCAACATTGTTATTTGAGGCAAAAAATGAACTTCTTAAAGGCATAAAATACATAGGCTAACTTGCTCAGTTTTCACTGCTTCTGGCAGATCTTTTTATAAACGCAACAAATAAAACAGGCCCAAGAATGCTTCCTTGTGGCACGCTGCTGCGCACTGAAGCCCAGTCTGATACGGACCCATTAATACTGGCATGTTGGTGTCTCCCTACTAGAAAATCTCTGATCCATTTGAGTACATTGCTGTCAATTCCCAAAGACTGCAATTTCCGCAACAGCTGCTCATGTGGGAAACTGTCAAATGCCTTGGCAAAATCAAGGTACATTGCATCTACTGGCATCTACTGGCTGCATCTCTTGCCAATTTTTTTTAGAAAAATAATGAGAAAAAGCATATTTTTTCATGTAATTTTCAAAAATTGCATGGAAAATAGGTTCTTGCTGATGGTTAGGTAGCCTGGAAGGCTGGAAGCCCTGGATAAATCTTAAATGCCTATATTATTAACCTTTTTGAAAATTCCACTGAGAATGCCCCTGATGTGGGTATTTGTGTTGAAATTTCCATAACAACTTGGAAAAGAAAAGAAGAAAGATCAGACTGTAAAGTAAGGCTTTTTTGCTTGAGATATTGGTGTTTTACAAACCTCAATTCAGGCTGATATTGAGAACAAAGGCTTCAAACAAACTTTGCTCTTCCCAATGAGTTTCTTTACAAATTAGGCTGGAATTTTTTCCATTTGTAAATGAGGATGGCGGTATAAATTTTTCCAAGCTTACTCGGCTATTTATTTACAAACTAACAAAAAATATGTTAACTTTAAATTGAAAAAGTTATGATAAAGAAATTTCAGCAAACTTTGAATATTAATGGTCATCATGTCTGCAACTTTTACACTTTTTCTAAGAGGTCAACGGGTTATAATTTTTTTTCTCCACTGAATGGTATACTCATTTTTTGATCAGCACACACAAGATGATCACTAATACCCTGCACCCAAACTTTGCCACACTTTGACTACCAGCCACAAGCAATCTGGGCCTTTAATTAGCATCCAATTGAAATCAATTGCTGAATTAACACTAATAATTACACTATATAGATCTGTATCAGCCATCTGTATTGATCATTTGCAATTTGCCAGATCATTTGGATCTGCCATTTATGTACAAATGTAATGATTTTCCATCATTGGGCATAATAGTACATTAACATCTAAGGATGAATAAATTGACAACTTCCACTGTGTTGTGCCTACCTCAGAGCCTGAGAGAATGTGTAGCTTTCATTAGATACGTTCCCAGTTGCAAAAGCTCAAATCTGTCTGGAAGATGATATTCCCATGTCAACCATGGGGGATTATTTTGTAAACCATTCACATTTTGCAGTAAAAGCTGGATTAGTCTAAATATCAGTGTAAGTAAATAGTTTTAATAAAAGTTGAGGTTTATTGCAATTTTAAAATACAACTGACATGCCAATAAACCTATGCAAAAAGATAGTAACAATGTTTAATATAGTGCTTGAGGACATTATGGTTTGTATAGTGTTTAATAACTAGTGATAACTAGGGAGTAAGGAGCACAGGATATGCAATTGCTTATAAGGTCCTCAGACAGATGAATGATATAAAAATATCAATGAATGTTACTGCACATTATGTGATGAAACTTTGATGCTAGACAGGCTATAATATATCATGCCAAAATTTAGTGATTAACTTGAGGCAATCATGCTATAACTGAATAATGAATAAACATTTTGAAATTAGGGACTGATAATTTAGTCTAGCTACTTATGTTGCATCTTTACAATTTTAATGGATGAACACACAAAGCAAACAACATTGGGAGTAGGTTTGAAACAATGAAGCAAATGAAATCATACAGGTAAGACAAGAACCACATAACTATCGAGTCCATCAACACTTGTAATGTAATCTTATCAGAATTGTAGTAGGATTGTGCAAGAGTAATGCAGATTAATACACAAATAGGTTAAAACAGCTGTGAAAAGTAACAGAATTAGGAAAAATCTATGTAATTTATCAGGAAGGACTTCACTTACCGAACAGTAGGTATTGCAGAGTGAACTGATGCAAAAAGGCTTTCTTGGCAGCATTTTAATTACCAACTTGGCTTCAATGGAATTCAATTATTACCTACATCTGTTTGAAACGATATGGAGTGGAAGGATACATCAAGTATGAAAATTGAATTAATGACACAGATTGTTTGTGTGACAAAAAAGCAATGATGCCTTCCCACAACAAAGGGGGCAAAAGTCACTTGCAATTGCAAGTGAGCCAAAAACGCCTATGCTCCTTGATAATCTCACCCATACCTGTTCATTGCAAGCGACAAGTTGCCTTAACTCTGGCATTGCCTTGAAATTTTGTGTTTTCATAAAAATATGTTTGTACGGAAGAACATTTGATTACCATCTTAATTTTTTTTCAGTTTTAGGTAACTCAGTGCCAGAGTGGGAAGTTTTCAGATCCAATTGTCAGCTTTCAATCTCTTATCAAGAATGGTTTTGGAAACGGTTGGCAGCAGCAAAACCAGCAACATTCGCTCCTTGCTCATCAGAGCTTGGCGAGAGCGGTGGTCTGACATGCAATGGGGCATTCACATAAAAACGGTAAGAAAGAATCTCAGAATTTGTACAACTTGCTGAAATTTCAAAATTCTACTTATTGTGATGCCTGATTTGTTTACTCATGTACTGGTTATCTGGTTGTATATAAAACTGGCTGATCATGTTTATTTTATGTAGCCAAAAATTACTATCATGAATTAAAAAAAACAGGAGTAGATAGGTATTCAAGTGATTGATTGGGAATTTTATCTAGCTAAAGATTTCTTTGGTGAATTTATAAAAACACAATTTTTTAGGGGTCTTAGAATTGAGTTTCCAAGAAAAATATGAATATGATTCAGAACTTGGGAAGTTGGAACCCAAGCCAGACAAGATTAACTATAAAGTTGTGAGCTTGCAATTGAATTATAGTTGCATTTCAGCATGCCAAAAAATGTAAGGGACATTATATATATTGATATTGACATTGTTAATTTATATTATGATTCAGTATTAAATTTATGATTTTCTTTAAATTTTGCAAGTTTCAATTTTGTTTTGTTTCTAACTCTCCTGATTTTGATTCTCACTTTATCTCTGAGGTTCTTGCATTTTTTAAAGAACAATTAATTCATGCTATATGACTAATTCCATCGTTCAAGTAAGTAGCCTTCTTCCAGAAGTGTTGAGGCTGCTCTGATTTTAATAACTCGTTTTTATTTATTATATTGATGAACTAATTTGATGCCAAATCATGCTTCAAATGTATAAAAATCTAATTTATTCCAGGTACTTCCTCGCTACATCAGTGGTGACATCTATCACTTGTCAGACTGCATCCTGCAGCAAGCGTTGATGGGACCTCTACCCAACCAACTTATATTGTCCTACCTACGCCACTCGCTAGCTGCTCATGTGGTGTCCTATGGTGGGGTTTTAGAGAGCATCAGTAAGTATGACTCACTTCACAAGTCTCATTGCGTTGCAGCTCTTCTGGATCTCCTGGAATCAACTCCCCATAAAGTGACGTGCCGAGGCAAGCCTGAGGACTGCCTTATGCTAGCAACTTCCCTGGTGGCCGCAGTGCTATGGCTCCTCAAGGTTATTCTCCACGCGATCAGCCGTTCACCAACCCCTGAGCAAGTGGCTAACCTAAAAACTGCTCTCAAGCTTGTGGAAAAATTCATGGAGTGCCAGTTTCTCAAAGGCTTGCTTTACATAGCCCATCTGGAAGACCCAGCCCAATGGAACCTGGTTGTCAGTACCGTAGCTGAGATTGAAAACAAACTACTTACATCCTCATTTCCAGCACTTGCAGAGTTGAAAGATATTTTTCCTGCAATTTTCAATGATCTTAGGTCACTAAGCTTGGTGCGACTGAGTAAACCTTCAATGCAGTATAATCCTCGCATCACCCCCATCAGCTATGGCCTGCATGCGCGCGTCATGGTGGAAGCTGTGATGCATCCCACGCATAGCAGCCAGGCTCTTGCCACCCAACTCATACTATACAGTCAACTCAGAGGCTTATCTGAAAAAGGACTCTATCTTGAGCTTCTTGTGAGTTGTTTCTTGGGCCTAGGTAGCGAGGAGGAGTTCCCTCACCAGCAACTCCAATGGGTAGGCTTCACCTTCATCAAACTCCCCAGTTTGATACAGCACATCCATTCTGGGTTGAATGGTTTCTCCTCTACGCCATCAGCCGCATCTCAGCCCCTAGTTGACGCTGTAAGAGAGTTCGTCCAGCGCACTAGCCTCTTGGACGTGGCTGACCGCAGGATGAACTGCAATTGCTTGGAATATTTGCTTCATGAGCTCACGGTGCCAACTTCACTCCTGACAGAGCAGGATATGGCTGCTGCTTTGACCCTCCGCAAAGAAGACCCTCTTGCAGTTGCTCAGATGCCAGGCTTGGCAAAAGACGGCAGTAATTCGCATATGGCTATTCCAGATCTTATTCTACGAGCCCAACCTACTGTACCGAGTATCCTCAAAAATCTCAGTAACAAAAATCAAGAATCTGTTCTTCCGGTGATGAATCTCCTAATTAGTGGAAAAAGTCGAGACCTTTTGTTGACGGCCGCGGCCGCGTCGGGGAAATTGTTCATTTATGCTCAGAAGTTCGTGAAATTCAATCAGCAAAGTTTAGAGCCTCAACCAGGAGAGACAGAATCAATGGCAAAGAACCGTGCCCTGATGTTCGACCTAACATTTCTTCTGCTTTGTCATGTCGCACAAGTGTACGGTGTGGATGTGGTGATGGGCGAAGAGAAAGATACGTTCGTGGAAACTTGGATGCGATGTCACATGCCTGAGAAAGGCAGACACAAAAGCATCATTCCGCAGTGGCGTACCGACACATGTCATTTGCTGGAAGTTGTGCAGCGAATTAATGCTAAAGACATGATGTCTAAGTACGGCCAGGCTCATCTTGCCGAAGTTTGTCATGCATCTCCCCTCATCATGCAGAGACTCACGTCTGAACTAATTCAAGGTTCGGTGTCACTTCAGCATGCGACCGAGTTGCTAGATCGCTTGTGTTCTCATCTTTGTTCGTTGCCAATCTGCATTGCTGCGTGGACTTGTTCTTATTTACAGGAAGCTTCGTCATTAGAAGCTGCTAAAGTCAATGCCCTCCTCAACCACTTACAGACCAAACTATCCAATCAAGAACCCACGCTCACATTAGGCAGTTTTAAAGATCGATCATTGCTAATGTCAGACATTATTGATAATATGGTTAAAGTCACCAAGGAAAGCTTTGCCCCAGAACAAGACGAAGCAAAACAACAAAGCTCTTCGTTCTTTTCGTCCCTCATCGCCGAAATCCAAGCAGAAGATCTGATGGAATGCGCCTTAACTAATGCCCGAAATCTGAGTGATGAATTGGACGAGGCATGGAAGAAAATGTTCACAGGGTGCGGTATTCTCTCGCATTCAAGTCTATGGACTTTTGAGAATCTCTTGCGGCTCGGAGGGCACAAGTGGTTTGTTAGCAGTTTGCTTGCTTGCGCTATGGAGAGTGTCTTTGAGACGGATCTAAGCAGGGCGATGGATCTTGTCTACGGTATCCTGCAGATAGACCTGCAGCAGTGTTGCACCTGCCTTCTCTTGGACACGCTGCCTCAGTATCTCAATGAACCGTGTAGTGTCGCGCTTTTGAGTCACCGCCGTATCGGTGCGCTAGCGAGACTGACAGTACAAGTGCTCGTGGCTGCGTGGGCTGCGGCAGCCACCCTTGCTGGAGGTGGGGATGCAGGTTCTAACCCAAGTTTTAATATCACAAGAAAAAGATCTTATGCCGTCATGAATGAAGAGGATTCAGATGAACGGCTACTACGCCGGATAGGTTCGCTAGCTCTGGATCCAAGCTCGCTGTCAGGGATCAGTCGTGAGGGCTTAGCGCTCATGGTCGCGGTACAGAATCTTTTGAGCGCTCTTCTTAGAGCTGTTCCCAACGGTGTCGTAAGTCCTGTTAGTGAGCTGGTAGTGGCTTTTCTGCTCGAGCTTCTTGCTGCTCCACCCATTGTTTCTCCGCTTCTTACTCTGCTTCCTCCTAACTTGCTCTCAGTGCTTCTCGCTATCCATCCTCCCAACACGTTCACCCCCAGCCATCTGCTTGCTCTGGCTCTCCCTGTGCCGTCGCCACCGTCGTCTGTACCATTTCCGTGCCTCCCTTCCCCTCTCACTCACTCCCAGGAGGCCGCTGCTCGCCGGGCTGCCGCAAAGCTGCTGTGTACACATAGGAACTTCCTGCTAGCGGCGGCCAACTCTCATCACCAGGCTGTGCTTGGCTGAGAAGATTTGAGAATACCACGATGACATACCAACACGTACATCATCGAATGATCTTATACGAGTTCTGGGGCTGTTTTTGGCTGAGAAGATTCATTCATTTCGTATATCATCGAATGATCTTGTACCAGTTCTGGTTGGCTTTGTCAATGTAGAAACTATATTGCACCGCGTTTGAATTAATACCGTATACTTTCCCGGAAACTGACCCGAGCCTCCTGGTCCCAAGTTGAGCGCGAAAGCATCTCTGACTAACACATCTTTACTGTCACTCTTGAATTTGTCGTTTTAATAATGTTCCAATAATTAATATCCATATCGCAAAGTCGCTCATCAGATCTTCACACTTGTTCCTGGTACTGAAGATACCAGTAATAAAGCAATATTTTGGACAAATTTCGGAATTTTATATTTTAGAGGTTTTTCTTGACTATTTCCTACCGTTTTGCTGCCTTCGAAACATCCTGTTCATCATTAAAGGTTAACAATATTTCTCTGTACGATGTTGAATGCGCCATTCAAATATCATACTCATTGTATATTATTTATTGTACACATCTCTTCGACATCACTATTTTGTTGTACATATCTCCATCAATCACAATAAATTTCCTATCTATTCATGTCTTCAATATCCTTCCGAGCAGCATTGCCAAATTCTGTGGCTCCTATAAATTTTTGCTAAACACGTATTAATTGAATACCTTGATATGAAATGAAATTTTCCCCGTAGACTCATTCTCGTATAAGTGTTCCGGCTGAGACTGATCGTTTGAAAAACTCGTGTTCTCAAAACTGATGCTATCATCTGCTTCCGGATACTTTGAGGAAGTAAAAAATGTGCGTAAAGCTTCTCTTCGTTTCACTGTACTTTTGATTTTGAACTCGTGGTTTAAAATAATTTTTGATAGATAATTTCACTCTTTGAGTCAGGATGAAATTATAAATAGAATAGAAGTGTCGGCGTTGAAGAAATAGGCCCATGGCCTGTTGCGATATTTCGCGATCATACTAAATTACCGGAGGACAGTTTTTGGGATCATTGAAAACATATATTTGTTTTTTTTTATAACGTGTACTTGTCGACATTCTCTGCATAGGAAGTGACATTCAAGAGACGAAGGCGTAAGAGAACAGTTGCTCGGAAACGAGCTTGAATGCTGCTAGTTTTAAAATAATTAAAACAGATTCGTGATATTATTCATGTAGGTAGTAAACTTGTCGCAACAATTAAGTTTCATGAATTCTTTCATTTCGAGCGTTAAAGAAGAAAACTTGTGTGAGATTTTAGATAAAATGTAAACTAAAATAATTTCAACCTGTGAGAATTTAGATAACGTGTACGCTTGGCTATAACAATGTTTTTAAGATATAAATATACAACAAATGCGATAAATGTTACAATAATTTACTCAAATTTACAGTCATGGTACAAATAAATATCTTGCACTATGTAGTGTGCTTCACATTCATTGTGGAACTAAGACGTAGAGTAATTAAAAATATTTCTTGGTTGTTTGCTGCATTTATGCCCGGTGATGTAATGATTTTTATTTTTGATAATTGCTGCAAAGTAGTGCTTAAATCGACCATCATCTGCGCCATCATGTTGCAATTTACATGAAAAATTTAATTGGAATCAAACAAAGGACTAAAACTTCCCGGAAATATGTTGCAGAGCTACATTAGAACACATTTACCAGCAAATATATCTAGAGGTATTTGTTTTATGCATTTCCGCCCTATAAGTTCTTATATTTAAAGTTTGCCTCTAATTTTTCTCTATTTGTGATACATGGATTTAATAAACTATAATACAGGGACATTCGCAGCACTCAAATCACGTTCTACATTGAAGGTAATGAACGAAAATGTTAATTCGTGTTGAATGAGTAATAATTTAAAATTGCTTGATCTATGAATATTTGAAGAATCCAATAGGAATTTGAACTGAAACATTTCGTACAACCTTATATTATGTTGCTATTCTCATAAAGGGCAGGGGAATATATTTACGTTTAAATTTCCACTAATTTTTTTAAAAATTCATGTATACGTGAAAAGAATGATTGTAACGCATATTTCTTTGTTTAATTTAATTTGATACTCTTTTACACGAATACACCGTCTTAATCAGCTGGTACGCAATAATTATGCTTGGATAATTACTTCGGTGTAATTAGCATTTTATTTGAAATTAACATACCCACGCAAATGAGCGATTTCAATGTATATGTTCTATTAGGATGTAAAAATTAATACATTGACTGCCTCAAGTGATGCTGCCTCAAGTGATGTCAACATCTCTGAGAGTTCACCGAAATTTTGCTCCGTAAATAATAAGTGTAACTATTCATGATTTGAGAGCTGCGCACATAACAACGTACAGCCGAGCTGCCTTGACGGTATTGATTGGCTTGCGGCACTGTAATGTTTATATTGTATTGATTAGTTTATTCCACACAATAATTCAAGTTCCATTTTCGTTCAGATGCACCGATTCGTTCATTAACACAATGGCTTGTTACTGAAGCGCTGTCAACGCTCGATTATTGTTATATGCTAAATTGTGAAACAATATAAAAATGACATTCCTGCTTGGTTGAATTTGTCGCTGGACACTACACGCTTCTAGGCGGAATAGAACATTCTTTTTGAAAGGAAAACTGAGCAGTAAATTTTAATTTTGCTTACACTATTAGACAATGTTTTACATCTGAATCTAGACGGTTTCCATGATTCTCTGTTGGAATTCTCATAGAAAGTGTTTTATAATCAATAAGACGAAAAGTTTGCAGTGCTGGTGTAACATATAAAGCATTAAAATGGATTGAATTTGTTGCAATTTATAGTAAAATTCTTTGGAATAGAATAATAGATTCCTGTTTCCCTGGTATTAGGATCGAACAATTCACCAGAGGGCGTTATTCGCTCATACATTATCTATCGAAGAAGGATAAACGTGTGATCATTCTTAAACTTATCCTAGAACTCCGTAACCGTATTATAGGAAAAAACCGTTTACACCTCCGTGCTGACCGCGTTTAGTTTTCATTAAAGTGACATATTTAGTGTGTCTTAGCGTATGAATCTTTATTTTTGTATCCTGCGACATATCCGGACTTATCCGCTATGTCCTTGCGTCCGGCGACACCTTTACCCTTACCATCTGCGTCGAAACGTTGCTTGTGCGACCCCGTGTACTTCTGGGTGTTGGTGAGGCGGTCCACGGCTGAGTTTTTGACCACGCTCTGATCACCGGGTCAGAAAAGAGAAGTCTTTAGGACGCTGAAGGGAGGGAAGATGCGGACACAAAACAGCGTTAGTATAAGCACAAATAAGCTTTTATATCCTTATTAGGACTTCAACGGAGGTGTTGCGACGTGAAAACTTCTTTCGGAAGGGGCCATATCAAGGTACTTTTTGATGAAAAATTGGATTTGATAAGTAAAGAATTAATATCAATGTGATACTCAAATAATTTATCGAATACATGAATTTAAATAATTACAGGATCATGGCAAAAAATTTGGTCATGACTCAACATCATTTCGGTAAGCATTAGCGGTCCATGGCATATTTTCGACTATCTGTGATTGGCTGTTCGCAATGCATTTTGTCTATTCATTGACCACAATACGATATTCCGAAAGAAGTTTAGTTGTAATTAACTTATATTATCAATCAAGGCGTCATCCCTCAAACGCTCGTCCGAGTTGGATTTTACTATCAAATCAACTTAAAATTAAAAAGAATTCATAACAATTCTTTAATGACATTAAAAGCTATTTAATGTAACAACAGAAGTGCTATTGAACTTAAGTAATCATTCCAACTCGCACGAACGGGACGATGGAGAATAAGTGACATGACGTCAACTACGTCTTTTTCGGAACTTTCAAGCGATTATCGACTAAATACGAGTAAATGCAATAAAGTGGCACCCCACTTCAGGGGTTACAAGCTACACAATATTTGAAAGCAGCTTTAGGTAAATAAAGAATATTAATTATTTATGATTCCATCATGTCACGTTATCTCGTAGAGTTTAGTAGGCAGGTTACAATTAGAACAATGCTTCAAACCACAACATGTACATACGAACAAGCACTCAAGAGCTACATATATACATATCAAACTGTTTAAAAGTTCTACTGCTAAAGTGCTAACGCAAAGACTGGACTTTGAACGTTCTCAAAACTGACTAATTGTTGTATGTTCAAGCCAATTCAGCATGATATACATAAATAAAAGTAATGTAACTTTGGAAGTTATAGAGGACGCATCAATTGATGCGCTCCCTCAATTAGACTGTCATTGTTATGAATAGAAGGTAACGTAACTAAATTATGCTTCATCAATAAGGCTTGAAATTAAATTAGGAGCTTCCAAGTTTGTTTAATGCGACTTAGCAGTGAAGGTTTTCAGTCTGAAAGGTAAGTCGCGAAGGGTAAGTGTTCGAAATTTGAATTGATAAGTACCATATGCTAGTCTAATGTTCTGATGTAAGCTGAAAGGCCACCAGATTTAGATGATGTTTTTAAACAAATGAAAAGCAATGGCTGCACAAAAAATTTTTGGCGTAAACGCATGTTTCACGTAAAGAGAAGCAACTTACTGACGTTACTGTACACAATATACAATTACATTCGCCTAGCCCTAACGTAAACCTCATGTGTCACAGAATGAAAAGCTACTGTACACAATATACCATTACATTCGCCCAACGTGATACGCATGTGTCACGGAATGAGAAGCTACTACTATATATGTGCACCATATACCAATTACAGTATATTCACCTTATATGATTTGTATTTACTGTGAATACAAATAATTAAATGTGAATTTAATCTTAGTTGATCCAGCATCTATTTTCTCTTATGATGAAATTCGTGTTCAGTAAATGTGCGAATTAGTGCGCTACCTGAAATGCTCATTTAATAACAGCGTCTAAATTCGAGCTGAACTAGAAGATTTCTACACGCTATATGTTTCCATACAGTATTTCCTTCAGGTATCTCACCAATTTCATGCTTTACATGGGATAATATAAATAAAAACCAATCTAATTATATGTAGGTAAAAGCATTTACAGGTTAACGAGGAAAGAACCGATGGGTATATAAGGCTAGTATTTAGTCCATTGATGCTGAAATTTTACAAGGGTATCTAAAAAGAGAACGGTCACTCAACGAAACTTAGATTAGCACAAGCTTTGAACAGATGACAGCGAGCGAAGGAGCAAGGATCGTACAAATTTTATATGCAATCAAGTTGTTTGCACAAGGATAACACAATAAGGGAGCAAGCAAGGATAGCAATCATGTTACAAGCATCACCCAACACGAGAGGTAGCAAGAATTGCAATCATTTTGTATTTACAGGCATCACTCAACATGGGGAAGCAATGATTGCAATCATTTCGTAGGTATAAGCAATTAGTCATTATGAACTCAAGGTCAATTAGCGAGGTTTGGCGCTGGAGAACATTTTCAATCTTACTCGAGCTTAAAATTTGGCTACCTGTTATCTTTATCAAATTCATCCTATATTTTCGAAAAATGTGAAGATTCTGCGTGATTGGACTTTAATTATGACAAATGCAAATGTAAATTGCATACAAATATAAAAAACACAAATTTTCGTTAATACACAACAAATAATGAAATCATGAACAGCGTCAAAAACGACGACGGAAACCTATCGAAGTCTTCTATTAAAATAAGATTGTACTGCATATATAAATTTAAGAGACTATTTATCTCAGAAATTTCTAATCGAGAACTCTTCTCTTACCGTCGTGCCTCGAAGCCCTGGGGTTCCGCAGTTTTTGAGTTTATCCTTGATGGCTTCAAGATCCTGATTTTTATACTTGGCGAGCTCCGCGAGGTATTTCTCGTAGTCTGGATAGGCTATCTTCATTTGCCTGCAACCAAATCATGAACTTAGCTGTTTTAAATGAATCGTCCTAGTACGCTGAAGCCATCGTTTGCTGTTACTTGTTGCCGATAAATAAGCTAAAGAAGCCCTAAGAAAACAAAACCTCGCCTTTATACAGCCCGAACAAAATACATGCAATAATTTACTTGTCTTATAACTGATGAATGGCACGAGTGAATATCGCTAACTTTTGAAAAATATTAACATAGGTGCGACAGAGCTCCCAGTTTGTCACGCCATGGCCTAAATATGGACGCGATAAGAGGTCAGGGCATTCGCCTGTCTACGTCTTTTTGGCTCTCGGGCAGAGCGTCGATATATTGATTGCCCCGCCTTCTACACAAATCAACCTTGGCCCATTACAAGAACATTAAGACTTGCTGACTGGCACATGAGTTCTCTTGCCCACAAAATAAAATATAACATCATCAGCGTACGCTAAGCTAGAAAACGGTTTATTTACTATCTAGAATAAAATTTCCTAGATATTTTTGTTGGTAACGTCGGCGGTATAACGGGAACACTTGGCGCTTTAAACGTACGCTTTCCTAATCCCATTCCCGCTGATGGTTGAACTAATGTGTTTTTTATATCGTGGTCATGGTTGCAACGTTAGTCTTATATTTAACATATGGACGAGCCTTGTGATTAATCTAAAAAGCTTCAACCAAATTAGTGCCCAAGCCATAAGTGTCCGTCACTCACTTAAACTTCTTAAAGGTGATGGCAGTGTCGGTGGTGGTGATGGTTTTGCCGTCAATAACCTTCGCTTGCTTCATCCACTTGTCGGACTGAGACAGAGTTAACTGCTTGCCATCAGACTTGCTGTCGCCGAATTTGCTGAAGGCTTTGAACTGCTCGCGCAGAGTTGGGTTTTTGGGAGTGCCTGATCGTAAACGCGTGTATTTCATATGTGATATTCGTTTACTAGAAATCCCAGAATTTTTTGCAAATTTAGCACACGAGTTTAGCTAAAGCGGGATTTCTGCTATTTTTTATAATCTTGATTACTGTTTTTCCCTCAAACAAGTTCTTGGATACGGTAAACCAATCGAAAATCCTTCTATAAACTAAATATATGTGCCATAGTACATCTACAGAAGATGTAGAAGCCATAGTACATCTACAGCACGGTTAATTGACAATATTGATACACGTGAACAGTTATTTTTAGACGATTTGCATCGTAATATAAGTAAATGTATTTCTTTTTGAGGACACACAATCTTTCTCACCCGGTGACTCTCCATTGGCTTCAGGCTCTGGACTTTTGACGCCGTCCTTCTGATCTTCAGACCTCGGAGTGTCGGGGGCTTTAGCCTCGTCCGCAGGTCTAGGGGATTCCTTTGAGTCGTCTGAAGGCCTCGGAGAGTCCTTGGGCTCCTCTGCGGTCCTCGGGGAGTCATTAGATCCTTCAGAGGGTCTAGAGGAGTCTTTGGGCTCCGCGGGTCTAGGGGACTCTTTAGTCTCGCTGGTCTGCGAAGGTGCAGGTGACGGTGCAGTCTCTGCCATCTGAAAATAGGCAAAGAGATTAGACCATCATTATGTCATTAATCTATTCATCAATTGAGTCTCAACCATTTCGATGACGCTAACGACACTGATAACAGTAGGTAAGAGCGAGCTCAGATGAATGTATTGCTTCCTGAACTTTAATTTACGTTAACCTCTAAAAGGCTCATGCGATTTAAATTTTGCTTCTTGGAATATCCACCGATCTATCGTAGAATTCTTCATCCTTGGCGGACTTGAATAAATTGCAATTATTTTCAGCTATGTTGATGTTCAGACTTCATGTCTGTGGCTTACGTGGAAAGCTCACCCTTAAGGGCAGTCACAACTGTGGTAATAAATAATAAAATCTTTAATTACACTTTGTTGCGGATTGTTTGGTGTCATTTACAGGTCCTGCGGGATCTTTTAATGGGCTTAATTAATGTGTTTTATTCAATGGTTTTCATTAAATATACTTCTCAGAAAGCGTATCACACAATCGGCATTATCAAAAAAGTATAATTAAATGTGTATCATTCAATGGTCATCAGTCAATGAGTATCAATAAATGACAATCATTCAGCGGGGGCATCACTTTATGAAGCAAGCAGAACTCGGCCACTCCGTTCATGAGTCACGCACGGCAGCCTGGACAACCTCTTTAAGAGGGCAGCGCGAGTACTCCTGAGTAGAGAGTCTTTTGACACGCTACACTCAGACAAATAGAGGGACTTTGTCCAAATAGCGATGCACTTTTTGCTCCTGTTTGGGCCATCCTGACTCTGTATTGCCCGGTCGTAAGGGTGTATCACTGTTACGTATATAAAGTGTGTCACTATTTGGACAACTTGACTCATCAATTTTTGAGCGTAGCTCTAAACTCTGCGTTTTAATTAAGTTCATTGGAACCTTAATTTGGGATCATGTGTCTAAGTAACGATCAACGAAAGCATGTAGTTGAAACCGCAGGTCTCGCATTCCTGATATTTAAGATCGTCTGTAAAAGTAAGTTTCTTCTTATTAATTCTACTTTCAAATGTATCTCGCTTTGAATTTTCAACCTATTCAGCATTTTTAAGCAAAATATTTCGGGTACGGCAACACGCAACATTCCACCTGCTGATAAAAAACGCCTGGTAAATTTGCTGTATACAGATGGGTCTAGATTTAATTATTCGGCAAAACTGAGTGTCTAAATACGCGTTCAAAAGATGCAATTTCTATAGATAAATTTTCACATCCGAGTGGCGAGACAAGATTACAAGCGTGAACTCCGCACCAGCGCATGAGTCACACAGAGCGCATGCCCGGACGCTTCTTCGCCGTCGTGCCCACTAAAGTTTGCCGAGGCTTGCGTGACAAGTCCATGGGTGGGGCTGCAAAGCTTCGATTGTTTAAGATATGATAATGAGCTATATTGCTAATGTTGTACTGAAGGAAGGTTGTATGCCTCAAAAAGTAAAACAAAATTTTACGTACAAAATATTTGGTTATGTTGTTTATTTACCGATGTGAGATGTAAGAATGTTCATTGGCTTGTGTGCATACATCAACGTTTGGTGATTGATGGACTCAAGTGGAAAAAGCGAACCTGAAGGCTGCGCGTAGGCAATAAAATAAGCCTTGTAGAATTGGAATTTCGATTTAAACAGATACAAATTGAGGTCGAAAGCTTTTATTTTAACTTACGAACCTTGGAATTTTCAGTCTCCATGTTTTATCTTTGTCATAAAAGGCTTAGGAATATATTTATGTTATCCTCAAATAGGGAGTCAAATGTGACTACTTCTTCATTCGGACGGACTCAAAATCCTAGTATTTTCTTCATTTTTTAAACCCGATTCAAGCACTCCTCTTATTCTGGCATCCCGACTATCTAAGCAATGGCTGCTACTGCGATCATTTGTCTTGACAATCTTTATAGGCAGATTAGGGAGGCAGGGGCGAGCTTCAAATTATTCTTGAAAATTGTACCCTAATAAAATTATTGACTTAGCAGACGCGGTTACGCTTCCAACACATTATAAGAGTGCTTTCACAACATGAAAAATCATTAGTTGTGTTTCATACCAAAATTGTTCAAACTTTCAGCTGGGCATTTTCAATCATTTATCTATATTCATAGCTCTCATAGAAATATTTATGTTCTGTAAAATCCTAAGCATAGTGCGTCGTGTTAATAGTTTTTTTTATTCTGGCGAAGAAATCATTTGATTGAAAAAATGCCGGCTCCACTTGCGTAAACAAAGAAATTTTTGTGTTTCTTCTCTCGGACCCCTGACAAAAATTAATTTTTTCAGTACATCAGAGCGTAATGATCACATTAAGGTAAGGAGTGCCGTGCGATCGATGCTGGCCTCGCTTACCTCTACACACAGAGAGACTCTCTGTAATTCCAGGTGATGGCTGTGTCCTTTTGACCTCAATGTCGACGCAAATTTCAAACTTGGAAAAAATACTGCGAACGAAATTTTAAAAGAAAATAAAAGGGATCTCTGGCTTGTTCATAGCAAATAGATCCGTAAAAATGAGATCCATAGATACTAAAAACGTCTGAAAACATGATACAAGTTTTTCACGTGCTGGAAACTCATGTTATGTGCAGCCAGTAACTGTTTGCGATTGGCCTAACATTTGCTTTGTTGTTCGTATGTTCATTAAGCATCAAATAGAAGTTCATATTGTTTTGATGCTTCCTGCGCTCTTTTGTGGGCGATATTGACGATTATTTGGGTCACGACTTGTAACAAATTAATCGATGTATCTTGAATAGGAATTTCTTTGAAAAAATTCGTTTCATTTCGATCAATTAATCAAAATGACGAATGAGAGATTAGATGAACAGGTTCATGAGGGTTACACAACGTTTCAAACTTTATTTCTTCGTACCTGAATGCACTGTAGATCTTAAATTTTGAACTGTAGTCGTTGTTGTCATTTATGCTCTTAATAGCAAATTCGTAAAAAATAAGAGGTTCGAACTCGACAGTTTTGATAGAGAAATGGATGAGCGACTTCCTTGTAAGGGATATGTGTGTGATATAGAGGCATAAATGTCCCCCTTGTACAGTTGGGTGAGAGCCAGAGTCGCGTATGTTCTTCTCGCTCATATGACAAGTGAACATCGCGCTGTTAAAGTGTTGCTCGATCAAACAAAGAATCGCGTTAATTTTTTTAGTTAAATAAAAGAGGATTATTTGTGCACATTGCTATGGTTATTAATAAATCTTACGTCCATCAATGTTGTTTTGTTGAAAAAGATACTTCTAGCTTTGAATAATTTATATTGTTTTCGCCGTCTGTTTGTCAACATCAATCAACAAGTTTTATTCTTCAGTCTGAGTAACCAAGTTTGAATAATTTATTCATATCAATATACCATTAATGCAGTAAAACTTCGTATGAATTCTCACTTTAAAACTAGGCTGCAGGAATCATTTCCCTAATATTGAAGGTTCCGAGCTCATGGCGCTATGTAGCTACAACCCCGGACACAAAACACTCGACGGGGAGACGAGCTTTGTTCACTTTCCTCGCTACGCGTGTCACTTGACTAACAAATGAAAGAAGTTGTTAAGTTCCGATCACGATTGGTCATTTCATTTGGTTGAAACAATCGGAGGAAGTTTCAGAGCCAACGTTCTGTGTCGAGTCTGCAATGGTTTATATTTGATCAAATTTTGCTTTAACATGATCGATATGTTCGACAACTTTGTGATCGCATGAAACTTTTCTCCCCCTCATAAATTTATTGAAATTATTTCAGGAACTTGAAAAAACCGCAAACCGAGAAGAATTTCATCAATATTATTTTCATTATTACATATTAGCAGGCAAATGAGTTTTCTACTAGCGAAGCAATTATACAGGATTTACTCTCTGCTTGATGAGCGCAAGATAGACCCGTGGTTTTTTTGCAGGGTTCGTGATTGCGGAAGGGCGGCATATATGCACCCGGCACTGCAGTTCTCATCAACACGAATTTATTGCCACAGCAAGCTGCTGCCGCGCGCTCTTTACTTTGTTACAGACTTTATTTTAGATCTTTCCTTAAACAAAATTTGAACCCAGCGTGCAACTTTCGACTAACCTAAAAAAATAGAAATAAAATGAAAAAAATATTTCAGGAATGAAGAAGTTGCAGGATCATCAGGATCATTTTGCAGCTTTTTGATCACCAGAGGAGTTTCACCCATATTTTAATTTTTTTGTTCAATAAAATTTGTGAAGTGAAGTGTGTCAAGTAAAGTGTGTTTATAAAAAAAATTTCCCCTATGTACTAGCTTTAACGGTTAACCGTAAAGCGTCTGATCAGTTGCTATGGCTTGGCAGTAAATTAAGTAAATAAATTAAGTAAATTACAGTACTAACTTTCACCAGGAATTGTTCTTAAAAAACTACCTAGTTATTTGCGACCTTTGATGACAAGGGAATCAGAGATCGGATGTTTTCTTTTTCAAAAATAAGAACGATGAACACGACTCGAACTCTTAAGTTTTGATATAGATAGAATGGATTCTGGCATTCATTTGTGCCTTCAGATCTGACCTTAATTATTCGAACATGTCGTCGCATCAAGTTGTGAAAATTACTTTTTTTTATTTTGTACGGATCGAAGATGAAGTTCGTCATGTGCCTTGGTCAAGTTAGTGGCTGAACATAAAACGTCATATTCTAAACGATGGGAAATGTTAATATTGGCTTCTAAATGCAACGTGACGTAAAATGCTCTAATATTAAATGCTCAATGGTTATTATTTTACTATAATTTTTTTCTAATGATTTATAATTTGCTGGACCTGAATTATCCTGACTATATTTTTATCCGAAGAATTTAATCAAGCAGGGGACGTTCTTTCAAACGTAACGGCCGATTTCTCATATGTGATTGGTAGGTTTAGCTTGAAAAGCCGTCAGTAATTGGTTGACGGAGTTACAAACTCTTCACTATTTCTAATAGTACAGCCCTAGTAGATTCAACAACGAGAGTGTGGCAGCAACAGGTCCCCGCAAGCGTGCGTGACGAGATTCTG